CAAGTGGTATCAGAGCTAAGGTTAGTCACAGCGATTTAGTTTGCAATATCGTCTATGGAGGCGAGTATGGATGTGTTGAGCAGGAACGTATTGATGGAGGAGGAAGGCATCAGCGAGGTTGTCCTTTTTCACACACGTTGCGTCGTGAAGGAACGGTGTGTCAATTTGACGATTGATGAAGGTCCCGCGGTCAACATGGTGAGCATCGAAGTGGTGGAAAAATTGGGGCTGAAGATGGCACCTCTTGAAAGACCATACACATTAAAGTGGTTCAAAGGTGAAATCAAAATTACTCATCGGATTTTGCTAATTTTCGATTTGGGGAAATATTGTTGTGCGGAATTTTATCACGTTTGTCCAGTGCCCATGGTGTCGTGTCATCTGCTACTTGGGAACCCATGGTGCACGTGTGTCGGGGCTATTCGGAATCTCAAGAAAAATAGTTTCTCTTTATCATGGAAGGGTCAAAGAGTTTGTTTTATTCCTATGCCAGTGGATGTGTTCATGAAGGATTAGAAAAGTCGTTTGCTGAAAAGAAAAAAAGAAGAACAAGAAATAAAGGAAGAAATCGATGCACCGGTAGAAGGGCTGAATCTTTTGGTGGAGAAGGTGCCAGAGGATGGTGGTGCAAAGGGGTAGCGGTGGAGTGTTTTTACAACACAATGTCAGATCAAGAATCGTGCTTGCAAGATGATAATTGATGGTGGCAGCTTTACCAACGCCATTAGTAAAGATGTTGTGCATGCATTGGGTTTGTCCATGTGGCGACATCCGCAACCGCACTACGTGGAGTGGCTATACAATTCTGGAAAATTAAAGATCACGCATAAGGTGCGTGTGAAGTTTGCAGTTGGAGATTATATTGATACAGTGGACTGTGATGTTGTGCCGATGGATGCATATCAATTGTTGTTGGGAAGACCATGGCAGTTTGATCATGATGCAGTCCACGCTGGAAGATCCAACACATACACATTCATGCATGATGGAAGAAAGCACGTGTTGAAACCAATGGCAGACAGTGCAATCATCATAGAGATGCAAGTTCCGGAGAGGAAGGTTGTACAAAAAATAGACTTGAAACTGAGGATGGTTTCTCTTCAAGGAAGGGAGGATGATGCGGGCAAGACACCATTGATCGATAATTCTACTAAAGTTGAGCCATTTGATGAGTCAAGGCATGAAAAAGTTGCGGAAGATAATGCCAAGCATACGACCAGAATATGTCGAGGAAATGATGGTCGTGTGCGACAGCTTTGTGGACCAAAAATTGCTTCTGTATTTGGAAAGAAATTAATGCATGTTGATCCTTATCATACAGTGCATGTATCAATACCTAGCAGAATGTACAACAAAAGGTCCAGAACGGATGCTAAACAGGAACCGAAGACAGAAGATATAATTCCAATATTTCGTACGCCTCCAAAAATAATAAGGATGGGCAGTTTCCTGTTTAAACTACAGGCATGCAATTTATAGGATCTGTCAAGGGATAAGTCTTCATCTTTTATTTAAACAAGTCATTTTATCTTTGGTGTAATTTGCTTGTACGTGGCAGACGTGCACTAGTTACGTACATGTTTTGAGTCTAGGTTAATTGCAAGGTGATCAATATGGCCGGATAATTAATTAGTCAAATTCTTAGTTTGTTAGGAGAGGTCGTTTCAATTTAGTTTGGCTTAGTCTATTCCAAGTTCGTGTCGCCTACAAAAAGGGCCGACCAAGGCCGATGTAGAGATCAGTTTTAGTTTGTTTTCAGAGTTATGAAATATACAGAAAAACGTTCGACGTAGGGATGATCATATCTTGTGTATCATCTGTGATTTTCCATCGTGAAAATTTATTAGCGGCGAAGGGTTGATCATCACATCGACACCTACGTGTTGATCCAAGGGGATCATTATTTTTATTCGTGTATTTTCGTATGCGGGTGAAAATTGTTCTTGAAGGTTGCGAGGAGGAACAGGGAGACGAATTGCTCATCAAACATCGTCGTGAAAGATCGGGCCGTCTGCGCGCGCGAATTAACATCTCGCTAGTCCGCGCCTCATCATGATATCTTTGCAAGTCTCTTCGAATTATCAGTTTGGTTTGGCCTACTAGTATGATCTTTCTTGCAATAGGAGAAGTGCTTAGCTTTGGGTTCAATCTTGCGGTGTCCTTTCCCAATGACAGCAGGGGCAGCAAGGCACGTATTGTATGGTTGTCATCGAGGATAAAAAGATGGGGTTTATATCATATTGCTTGAATTTATCCCTCTACATCATGTCATCTTGCTTAAGGTATTACTCTGTTCTTATGAATTTAATACTCTAGATGCATGTTGGATAGCGGTCGATGTGTGGGGTAATAGTAGTAGATGTAGAACCGTTTCGATCTACTTGTCATGGACGCGATGCCTATATACATGATCATGCCTAGATATTCTCATAACTATGTGTTTTTCTATCAATTGCTCGACAGTAATTTGTTCACCCAACGTATAATACGCTATCTTGAGAGAAGCCACTAGTGAAACCTATGGCCCCTGGGTCTCTTTTCCATCGTATTATATCTCTTTTATTTACATTACATCTCGTTTATTATTTTGCAATCTTTACTTTTCAATCTATACAACAAAAATATCAAAAATATTTATCTTATTATCTCTATCAAATCTCACTTTTGCAAGTGGTCGTGAAGGGATTGACAACCCCTTTATCGCGTTGGTTGCAAGGTTCTTATTTGTTTGTGCAGATACAAGGCGACTTGCGTGTAACCTTCTACTGGATTGCTACCTTGGTTCTCAAAAACTGAGAAAAATACGTACGCTACTTTGCTGCATCACCCTTTCCTCTTCAAGGGAAAACCAACGCGTGCTCAAGAGGTAGCATTGATTTACATATACTAGATCGGAGGAGGCCGCCTACCCCTACCCCCAATGCCCAAAATGTGGCTCACTGGAGCCCTCCGGGTGCGGCGGCGGAGATCATCAATCATCGTTGTGGAGGCGTGGTCGACGAAGATGGCATCCTGTGCGGCGGCTTTGCGGAGCCACGCGGCCATGTTGTCGTTGAAATCGCGAGCCCCTGCTAGTATAGGACGGCGTCGAGTTCCTCGTCCCGGCGGCAGCATTGCGCCGCCTCCTCCTCCCGCGCACTGCGCATGAGGATGGCCACCTCGATGGCGTCCGCATCGGAAGAGGAAAGAAAATCCTCCGGCCCGGTGACGCCAGCACTCCGCCGCTCCGCCTCCACCTCCCTCTTCACCGGTGGGAGCGGCATATGCGAGCTAGCCGACGCGACAGAGCTGCCCGCGCCGGAGGAGAGCCGATCCTGCCGCCGGTCGTACTCCTCCCTCTAGCGACGGAAGAGGGACGACGGCGGCTCAAGGCCCCGGTTCATGTACCACCGGGCGGACCGCTTCCTTGCCGCGTCGGCGGCGACGCAGTACTTCCGCTCGGGTCCTCGCTAGTCATGACCACGGCCGGAGCTCCACATTCCGTGCCATATAGTGGCGGATCTGTCTGCAGTAGCAGAGTGGGCGGCGGATTTGGGTTGCCGGCGGCGAGAAGTCAGGGGGAAAGGGAAGATTGCAGTGGCGGGGGGAATAGGGTTTCGCCCCGTATAGCGGCCGCAGACTCGTAGATATACTGCGCGGGGAGGAGGTGGTTTCCGGGCCACCGTAAATGTTTTACAGACCAGGGCGACTATACGGGGTCTATCTGGCCCAATAAACAGGGCAAACCCATATAGTCGCCGGAATTATATGGGCCGAGCGCTTTTAGAGCGTCTGCTAGAGATGCTCTAAATTCAACCGGTAGTGCCTTGCAACAGTAGTCCGTCGGGTGCTCGTTCTGGTGACGATAGTGGTTGTTTAATGGTCTCTAAAACTCGATGGATCATTTTAGAAGAAAAATGAAAATAAAGAACAATTTTTTTTAAAGCAGGAAGAAAAGGGGGAAACGGATGGCGGAGAGAGATGCCAAGTGTCGAAGCGGAAGGTGGTGCCGTGCGGTGCGTTCGCTCAGCCAATTCAACCGGATTTGAGAAAGTCTCGCGTCCGCCCCCCTCCAGAACCTTCCCGCAGGCCCTCTCTATTTATTCACACGCGCGCGCGTGCGCGATCCAACGGGAAAAGAGGGGCGGTGTCGCAGGTGGTAACTGACATACGCAGAGGCGAAGCTGAAGACAGAGACTCGAGAGGCTTCGGGAGGACAGGATCGCAGTCGCAGCGGCGACGAAGCAAAGGTATTTCCTCGCCTTCTTCCTCGCGTTTCGTCAGTAGCATGATACTATCATGTGAAGGGTGCTGCGAATTTCATCCTGCCTTCTGTTCTAGGTTTGATTTGGCGATAGTTTTAGCACATACAGCTCATAACCCGCAGATCATAGAGAGCCATGAGACCCATACTTGCCAGTAGGAAAACGTATGTTGGGGTTCGGAGGCTGATTGATCCTCAATTTTTTTTTATCCTCAATTCTGGTTCGCAAATGCGCTAGATCTATATGACATGAAGCAAATTAAACCGAGAATTCCTATGTTGTTGGCGGTTATGTTTCCCCAATTCGTGTTCTGTGCGTAGTGGTTTCATCTGGACTGCGATTGTACCTAACGCGATGAGGAAAACAGATTTATCACTGAACCCCGTAACTTGTACGGGAACGTTGAATTGGTGGGAAGGAAACTGTTCCGGGAACAGACAGTCAACACTGAACTGAACACGAAACAAGGTTGTATTAGGTCTCCAAGCTTTTGGACACGCAACAATCTATGACCACATATCTTCGACGCTGCAAAGTGTAAACTGACAGTGGATTGTTGCATGCTTGAAATCGAGCTGTCGCAGTGATCAGAGCTTCTATGGTCAGGTTAGATATTTGTATGATCTATTGGCGCTATGCGGTAGTATGTTGCGAAGCCATGGTACATTTAGAAATGTAGTTACATGCTACTTATCTGAGTTTTTCCTATACGAGTCCTCTGGTGGGTGCTGATTCATTTGCCTGTCTGTCTTGCAGATGTCGTATTCGAGGTACAGGAGTCGTTCAAGGTAAACATCCTTTATCCTCAGAAATGCTAATATTATGTTTGTGTCCATGTTCTATATTTTGGAGTCTAGGCATTTCTGGCTCTAATTTTAGGGAGTGATTGATATCCATGTAATGTGTTAGGAGTGTGGACTCGAGTGATGTTGAGAACCCTGGGAACAATCTCTTCGTGACTGGTTTATCATCTCGTCTAACTGATCGAGATCTGGAGAAGCATTTCTCTACAGAGGGAGAGGTAAACTTATGGAAATGTTTGCTGAGGAAACTGGTACCCATGTGAGAAGATTGCTAACAATTCCACTTATTTATCTTGCTGGATGTGGCACAGGTGATTGATGCAAGTATAGTACTTGATCCATGGACAAGGGAATCACGGGGATTTTGGTTTGTTACCATGGCTACTCTTAAGGAGGCAGAACACTGCATCAAATATCTCGACCGTTCAGTGCTGGAAGGTCGTGTCATTACTGTTGAGAAGGTATTGCCAAAAGACTGTTAACTCTCTGATATTTGTCCATTCTCCTTCTCCTTCTATATGGAGTGGAATTATTATGTACAGATTAGCCTTCCAAGCTAAATATTTGAATGTTCTTCTTGTTTGAAGATTTTGTTGACAGCAGCAGGTTGATGCCCGCAGCTGTTTGGCATCAAATTCAAAAGATACACAACCTAAGATCGAAACAATGCTACCTCACCCAAAGGGTTGTACGCCCGCCATTATTGTTTTTTCATACTATTTGTGTTCTTCAGATCCCCAATAATGTATTGAATCTTGCTTTTGACATAAAACACAAGTACTGATTTTGAGCCCCTTCTCCACCACAGGCAAAGAGAAGACGAGGCCGAACCCCAACACCAGGAAGGTATCTGGGCACCAAATCATCGCGTGGTAAGTTATTGTGACATGATTTATCTTCGACACCTTGGTACCATGAATTATGTGCTAGAAAGTGAGCACCGCTGACACTTCATATCACATCTGATTATTGACATTTGATTATGTGGTGATACCAGGAAGGAGGTATTCCCGAAGCAGGTCACCTGTTAGGAGAGACCGTTACAGCTCACGCTACTCGCCTGAGCGAGAACGCTCTTATTCTCCTTATCGCAGAGGACGATCATACTCTCGTCGTGACAGGCGTAGATCATACTCCCCTGATGAAAGGAGGCGATACTACTCTCCCTATGGCAGAAGGAGATCATACTCTCCTTCTGACAGGTCGGAGTCTCCCTACGACAGGCGTAGGTCCTACTCACCCTATGACAGGTCCTACTCACCCCGCCATGGTCATCGCCACCGTTCAAGATCTCCATACCGTTACAGAAGGCAGAGGTCGCACTCCCACGACCGTTCTGTTTCAGCATACTACAGCAGGCGCTATTCTCCAAGGAGCAGAAGACGGAGCTACTCTCGCAGCATATCGCCACGCAGGAGCTACTCCCGCAGCTGCTCCCCGGTTTCAGAAGAATCAAGGAGCTGTTCTCCACGGAAAGGATGCGCCGGAAGCAAGCCATCACGCAGCAGGTCACCTGGCAAGAGGCGTTCTAGAGAAAGCTATGCTCACAGCCGCAGTTCATGCTCCAGGTCCGTCTCTCGGGAGCGCTCAACCTCAGCAAGCACATGATGTTTTACGAAGCGCCTTGCCACCGTATTTCCGTTGTAATGTTGGAATTTTAGTAACTCTGTTGTAATGGTATGATCGTGCACCTGTATTTCGTCATGACTGTTAGAATAAATCCGAGGTACGTGAACGATCCATCGAGGAGCAAGTAATCACAGACAATGATGACACCGAGATTTGTTAACGAAGTTCGGCGAACTCGCTTACTCCCCGAGGCAATGACTACGGGTGCTCCTTTCCGAGATACCGCAAGGTGCTCCTTTCCGAGATACCGCAACACCGACCACCCGGGCGCCGGCACAAGCCGTCAGCACCCGCTGGCGAGCCTGTCGTTATTTAGTCGTCATGTGTTACAACGTGGGGTGTCTCCTCATATATAAGAGGCCAAGGGTACAACGTGTCCGACTCCGACACTACACGTATCCTACCCACACTACAACACCAAGTCCAAGCGTAACCCAACTAGTACAAAATATTCGACACAAACACAACAAACTCCACCTTGACAAATATTCTTCACCACCTTGAATTTGTCCATGCGTCAAACTTTCATGTACTCCGGACTTGTGCTGTCTTCTTCGTAGCTTACCGAGAGCTACTCGACGAGTCTGCCCCAGACCCGCCGCCACCGTGAGACCCCGCTGCTACTCCCGCAACTCCAGTCTCCGTGACTCCACCTGCAATAGTGCTTCCTTGTAACTTGTAAAGATGCGAAGCCGTCTTCTCTCCAATCATCACGGTCACCTCATCTTCTATGATTCTCATGGTCTTCTTATCCCGATCACAACGGAATACCATACCATCATTATGAAGAACACCAAGCGAAATTAGATTCCTCCTTAGCCCTGGCACATGCCTGACTCCCCGAAGCATCCGCTCAACTCCGTCAAACATCTTGATTTTGATGTCACCTACTCCAGCAACACGATAACCTGTGTCATCGCCCACATAGGCTAAACCAAACTCACCAGACTTGTACGAAGAGAACCACTCTTGTTGGTTGTCGCATGAAAAGAGCAAGCTGAATCCAACATCCACGCTTCACCTTTGTTTGACCGCCTGTCTGATACTATGAGAACATCACTACTGCTGTCTGAGTCATCACCATGAGCTGCCTTATTAGCACTTGCCCCACCATTGAGTTCTGGACAGTCCTTTCTCATATGTCCCCACTGCTTACACTTGTGACACTGTATATTCTTTTTTTTTCTTGTTCTTCCCAGCCTCATATCCCTTCCGCCACTGCTCACCCTTGACTAGCAAACCTTCATCATGAGAGACTTCCACCGCGTTCTTCTTTCTCATATCATAAGATAGCAATGCGCAGTAATATCCTCATTCTTGACGGTCTCCTTGCCGTGCGTCAAAGTAGTGATCAAATGGTCATAGGATGATGGCAATGAACAAAGAAGCAGAATTGCCCTATCCTCGTCATCAACCGTCGCACCCAAGCGTGCTAGATCCGTCACGACTTGATTAAAGGCGTTCATATACTCCACAAGATCTGACCCCTCCTGCATCCTCATCCCATACAACTTTTGCTTCAGATACACCTTGGTCGTCGCAGTCTTGGACATAAACTGACTTTCCAGCTTCTCCCAGATCTTCTTCGGCGAATTCTCATCCATCACATGATAAATAATCTGGTCCGACAGACACAACCGTATAGTCCCGGCTGCTTTCAACTGTAACTCCTCCCAGTCATCCGCCTCCATCTTAGCTGGCTTGGCTTCCTTCAACAATGCCTTCAAGCATCATCCTTGTTGTGCCAACAAATCTTTTACTCTTGTTTGCCATAACCCAAAGCTTCCAGTTCCGTTGAACTTCTTCACCTCAAACCTGGTACCCGATAACGCCATGATTCTTTGTACGGCCGACTCCGTGAAAAATAACCGAGCAGTCTTCCCGTGATCCGCAAGTACACGAACCAAACCTCCGCGTACTGCTACTAGCGGTCAACGAACTAGTTGATCTTCACGTCAAAGTGCTCCCTTGGCTCAACTACGATACTAGCGCTATTTGCTTTCCTGCCAAAGCCTGTCCTCTCGATGGATGCGAAGCCCCTGATGGATTTTTTCTGGCCGATCTCGATCTGATCTATTGCCTCGTCTTGTCCCTAGCCGGCTGCCTTATTTTATACTGCGCGTGCAAGGCTCCAGCAGTCCGGCTCGGCTACGAGTTCTATCGGGACTCGGTCCCTTTTGTTTCCAAAACAAATCCCACGTCCGCTGCTTCCGATTGCAAGAGATAATATCGTCAAAATCTGAACCTACCAATCGAGTCACGCTCAGCTGCCCCTGCACGCGACCTGCCGCTCGGGCTGCCTGCCCGTGTCCCTGATGGACTGCATCATGGACTGCATCTGGGCCCAGCTGCTAGCTCCGCAGGCCACGTCTCGATCTCGTCGATTCCGAGTAGGCACCGTGACGCCACGCAAATTTTCCGACCTCACCGACGCCTGATTTCTCCACCTCTAGATCAAGCGAATAACCATCTCGAAACCTAGCTCTGATACCACTTGTTAGAATAAATTCGAGGTACGCGAACGATCCATCGAGAAACAAGCAATCACAGACAATGACAACACCGAGATTTGTTAACGAGGTTCGGCGAACTCGCCTACTCCCCGGGGCAATGACTACGGGCGCTCCTCCCCGAGATACCGCAACACCGGCCACCCGGGCGCCGACACAAGCCGCCAGCACCCCCTTGCGAGCCTGTCGCTATCTAGTCGTCATGGGTTACATCGTGGGGTGCCTCCTCATATATAAGAGGCCAAGGGTACAATGTGTCCGACTCCGACACTACACGTATCCTACCCACACTACAACACCAAGTCCAAGCGTAACCCAACTAGTACAAAATATTCGACACAAACACAACAATGACTCTGGACTTGAATACCATATGCATGCTATATGCTGTACTTGATGCTTCTGTGTTTTCAGTCTGGTTGGCAGTTTATATCATGGATTTGGCTAACGGATAGTTTTGTATGTTCTGATGCGGCATAGTTGCATAAAGAGAAAAAAAACAGGTAGTGGGTTGCACCTATTTAAGAATAGAGGATTTATAGCATACTAAGTACAAAGAAAAAACACAGAAATTTTCATATGGATTTGCTTTATTCTGTAAGAATTTCATAGGAATATTGGTAGAGTCATTTATTTGTTCCATCTATTATTTATTTGTTTCAGATGACCCAGTCGGCATCTTTTTATAGGAATTCGATACTGCAATTTTCCTTTATTTCAAATGCCCTAAGAGTCTCTGTAGATCGTAGGATTTTTGTTGTACTATTTGAATTTTAAGAATTCTTCTTCTGTAAGAATTTCATAGGAATATTGGTAGAGTCATTTATTTGTTCCATCTATTATTTATTTGTTTCAGATGACCCAGTCGGCATCTTTTTATAGAAATTCGATACTGCAATTTTCCTTTATTTCAAATGCCCTAAGAGTCTCTGTAGATCGTAGGATTTTTGTTGTACTATTTGAATTTTAAGAATTCTTCTTCAAAGTCCATTGCCTAATAGGAGCAGGTTACCAAATTTCTATGAAATTCATTCATATAGCTCCATACTGTAAGATCTCAGTATGAACTCGAACATCATTTGTCGAATACACTTTCACTCTATTTTTCTCCACCCTCTCCTCAATCCTCTGAAATTGCTTCCTGTGCAACAGCATATATTGCAGAATTTCTGAGTTCTGAAATATCTTTCTCTACCTTCTCCCCTCAACCCTCTCTTAAATTCCTTCCTAGCAAAAGCTGTAAAATTTCTGTGTTATGCAGAATCTCATGATGAGTATTCGGAAATCATGGAAAATTTCACGGCAAGTGACATCTCAATCTTCTGTTCTTTTATTTCAACGTAATAAATCCCTGCTTCCTGTAATCCATATAGAACATATAACAGCCCGTTCACCATACAGATCCAAAGATAAGAGAAGGTGGAAAATCACGACCAGTAAAGCTGAGGCCAAGCCGCAGCAAAATTTCAAGATATTCGTGGGTTAAACATAACATTGTGCAGATTGTTTCACAGATGGTACAACAACTAATCCAATAGTGTTCGTAGAACAACAATACAGTGGGCAAAGCTCAAGAACAGAAAAATGCCATTACAACTGGGCACATTATTACAAAAATGCGTGTCCGAGCCATGTCAAAATGGTGTAGTACACAAAGATATCCATGTTGGCCAGATGAACAGCTTACCCAAAAATGTTGCCCCTAAGATACAAAGGCAGTTCAGAGTGGGTCGCTTTTACTTGAGCTTTCAGTCCCGTAATTGGCACTGTAAGGTGGAATGTCCCTAATACCGCATCGTGGGTTTCACTGGCATCAAACATGTATGTACAGTCAAACTGGTGGTGGTCTTTTTAGCCTCCGACTGATGGATAGAGGGGAATTACAGACTGAGGACAATCTGTCCTTGCCCCAGCCAGAGAGTAGTATGCCAGAATCTGTGCCTGACCCTCTGGGCAAGGCTCATCTTGATTTGGTGCAATAAACTCAATGTTCCAGAAGGGGCGTACCATTGCCATGAGATCGGTGCCAGTAGGAGATGCCTTGTATCCCTGCACCCAAAGATATCTGAGTGACTTCAGCTGTAAGGCTGCAACTGCCAATGCACGTTCACTAAAGCAGCAACTCCTTAGCTCCAATTTCTGCAAGCTTGGGCATCCTCGTGCAAATGCCAGCAGTCCATCATCAGATCCCCCGGCATTCCCAAGCAACATGTAGCGGACGGTCTTGCTAAATTCACCAACATAGGAAAGGCCGATATCTGATAGAGCTCCAGGTCTCACATAAAATGCAAACCTCCGGAGTTTGGTGCAACCTCTCATCAAAGCCCGAACCCCGTTGTCAAGGGGCAGTTCGGTTATATGCACCTCTCTATCAAGCAGGACAAGTCGGAAATCATTCAGGTTTTTGCTGAACGTACCAATGGCCTCAAGAGCTGCATTTGTAATGTCAGACACATGTACTGCCCAGTA